GGTCCGCAGGCCGATGCTCTATCCGCTGAGCCAGACCGGCCAGGGCGCCGGGTTCAGTTTTAATTTTGAAGCTGAGTGGGTACATGGATGTTTATTTTTTACACCCTTTTCGGCTTCATAAAGAAATCGTTTCCGAAGAAGGAAAAGAAGACCCTGTCCCGTCGCCCGTCCCCCAGGCCCGGGGCCGGGGCTGACGACAGGGAGAGGCCACGACCCCCCTCCTTTCCAAAGCCCAGCCGGTCCCACCGTCTCGGGCAGCACCCTCCCCAGCTGCCCAGCGAGGGGCCCGGGCACAAAACTTTCCACTCCCGTCCTGGCACCTGGCACGGGGCCCTGGGTCCCTGAGGCCACAGAGGTCACGCATGCTGCCCGGTAACTCCACGCATTGGCACGTCACCACGGTCCCTGGGGGCAGAGGCCAAGTAACCCACATGGAAAAGAGCCCCACGTCCTTCCCCTGGAAAAGTTACACCAGGGACCCACCGGGGATCGAACCCACAACCGAGGCGTGTGCCCGGACTCGGTATCAAACCCGCAGCCTCTTGGTGTCTGAGAAGACGCCCCAACCCCCTGGACCTCCCGGCCAGGCCTGCAACGGCTGCTTTTTTTTTTTTTTGCTTTTTTTCTTTTTTTTAATCCTCACCCAAGGATATTTTTTTGTTTGGTTTTTAGAGAGAATGGAAGGGAGAGGGAGAGAGAGAGAGAGAAACACCGATGTGAGAGAGACACATCGATTGGTTGCCTCCCGCATGCCCTCGACCAGGGCCGGATGCCCGCAACCCAGGTCCGTGCCCCTGACCAGAATCGAACCCGGGACCCTTCAGTCCGCAGGCTGATGTTCTATCCACTGAGCCAAGCCGGCCAGGGCAATGGCTGCATCTTATGACCTTTTTTAATCAGAAAAAGGCAATAAAATAGTTTTAAATACTAGATGAGAAGGCTTGTCGGGGGGGTGGGGGGGGGGACCAGCTAGGAGGGTCTGGTCATGGAGGGGCCCCAGGAAGGAGAGGCGTGGCCTCGGGCCCTGGAACCCCCAGTCCTGGGGTTCAGTCACAGGAGCCCCTGGCCGCCCCTCCTGAGCCCCGGGGACCCACGGGCTGTACCCAAGGAGCAGCCACTGCACCCCCTCCACCCCCCAAACACAGACCTGCACCAGGCCTCCAGCGCCCCCTGGGGCCTCCACTCCCTGGGGTCCTGGGCCAGGCCAGCGCCTCAGACTCCAGCCCAAACCCCGAGCGGGACCTGGGGCCTCGGCTTCCCTGACTTCGGAATAACGAGGGCTCGGGAGTCCTGCCCTCGGAAAACCCCAGCCCCGTCCCCACCCGCAGCCCCACTCACCGGGGCACCTTCTGGAAGGAACTGGGAGAGGCTGAGGAGAAGCTCCGAGCAGAAGGCCAGGCAGCAGGGGGCAGACCGGCCCCCAGAGCCGTCAATCAGGCTCCGTCTGGCCCCGCCCAGGTGTTCCCAGCCCCCACAGGGCTTCACTCACTCACTCACTCACTCACTCACTCATTCATTCATTCATTCACTCTCCCACTGGGGCTCCCTCCAACCCAGTGGGAGGGGGGCGGGGCCCTGGGCCGTCCCACCTTGTGGGTTCAGCGGCTTCTCCAGAACATCTCACTGACTCCGCTCGGCTACCCTGGGAGGCAGACCCCACTGTCACCTACATTCTGCAGACGGGGAAACCGAGGCTCCCAGAGGTGATGTGACTGGCCCAGGGTTCGGGGCTGGAATTCGCACCCAGGTCTGCACAGCTCCCAGCTCTGTGGTGCGGCCCAGGCCCAGCCCCCAGCCCCTGGGAAGAAGGACGTGTGCAGCCGCAAGTGCCATCCGGAAGGCTCAGCAGCACAGCAGGGTCTGGCCTCCGTGGGCTGGGCCAGGGCAGAGGGTGGGGAAGCAGGGAGGGCCCTGAACGAGCCGGAGGCACCCAAGACGGGAGGTTCCCTTCCGGCCTGGCCTCTGTGAACTTGGGCACAGCACACAGCCTCTCCAAGCCTCAGTCTCCCGTGCACAATGGGCACAACAGCAAGATCAGGGCAGACAGCACCCTAGTGATCCCAGGCAGAGCCCCTGGGTAGACTGAGGCCCAGCGACGGGCGCACTAGCAGCCAGGAGCTGGGCTGGGGGGGGCAGGGGGTGGGAAGGGAGGAATAGTTATGAAGCTGCGAGATTTCAATGGGAGAATGCATGTACACAGGCAGAAATCAATACATATTAATTATTATTATCACTATTGACCTGGGCCCAGGTGTGTGGGAGGAGGGATCCCCTCCGTGCCCAGCCCCAGGCAAACCGGATGGTGATTCAGCCCCGAGCGCTCCGAGCCTGGCACCCGGTGAATGTTTGACAAATGGACCCTCACGCATGTGAAAGTCACATGGCGCCAGCACTTGGGGGCCAGGGGCCTGGGTTTGAGTCCCAGCTCTGCTGCTTCCTTGCTGGATGCCCGAGGCAAGTCTGTGCCCCTCTCTGGGCCTTAAATCTCCTCCAAAATGATGATGCCAACCCTCCCTCCATCCCAGGGTGGTGTGCAAACCCTCTGCACGCCCCAAAGCTGACCATCGCACCTCCGTGCGGGGTAGCGGAAGACACACTTGCTGTGAGCCTGGGGCACAGAGGTGTGAGTTGAGGCTGGAGTCACCAGGGAAAGACTGAGGAAGGAGAAGGACCTGCAATTGTGGGAGCAGGACGGGGAAGATCCCCCCTCGGAGATCAAGATCAAGGGTCTCCAGAGCCATCGGCTGCAGAACGTTCTGAGGAACCACGTTCCCCACGAATCGCTCCCTGACTAATGGGCCTCGGTGCTGTGTGCTCAGCCTGCCCGCAGGAACAGGGCCCTGGCAGGAAAGTGGTGGGGTGAGTATCTTGGGGCTGTTTCCTGTGGCTGGAGAGACTCTCACGGGGACGTTGGGAGAGACTTTAAGAGTAAAGCAACAGCCCGGCCGCGTGTGGCTCAGTGGTTGAGCATCGACCCAGGAACCAAGAGGTCACCGTTCGATTCCCCGTTGGGGCATATACCTGGCTTGTGGGCTCAATCCCCAGTGTGGGGTGTGCGGGAGGCAGCCAATCGATGATTCTCTCTCCCATCATTGATGTTTCTCTCTCCCTCTCCTTTCTTCTCTGAAATCAATAAACATATATTAAGAAGAGAAAAGAGCAGAGCAAGAGGACTCTCCCTCCAGTGCTCAGAGTGCATAACTGACAGCAACTACTACAGTCTCAAGTGCCCATCCTCAGACCCAGGGGCGGCACAGAGCAGACACGCGCTGAGCATGGGCTGCCACCATGGTCATGATCATCATTACTATTACCCTCCCGGGATCCCAGGCACGGTCCCTTCGAGGTATATGCCGACTTGCCCACCCACGATGGAGGATTGCAGGCAACTGACAGCCCCGGGTCCTAGTCCATGAGATACTGAGGACAACCTCAGTGTGGCCCGAGCCTCAGAGAGGGCAGGGCCACCCTCAAGGTCACACAGCACAGCAGCAGCAGAGACGGGACTAGAACCGGATCCCCTCCTTCCCCTGCCTATGGTGGTGACAGTCCCAGGGACGCGGGGCAGACGGTGCCCCTTTCCTAGCCCATCCCATCTGTTCCTGCCCTTGTGGGTGACCCCGGCCACGCTGCCCTCCATCTGTGCCAGTGGCTGGCTCCAGGCCAGGCCCAGCAATCCTCCAGCTTGGCTGGACGAGCACCTTTCACGGAACGAAGGAGAAACAGGACTCATCCCCCACCGCGTGCGCACAGGGAGCCCAGGCCAGGGTGGCAAGCCTCCTGGCCCAGAGCATCACCACCAGGCAGCTCTTGGCCCCCGGGACCTCAGGGCGGGGACAGGGGCAGACACACTTACCTCGGGCCTTGACGGGCCGGCTACCCCTTTGCTCTCCCTGCCTGAGCCACATCCGACTCCCAGGCTGCCTCTGCGGTCACTGGGAAATAGGAACGCTCCAATGACACCCAGTAATAAGCTGGCTGGCTCCCTCCCGCTCCGGGCTGTGAATATTCATGAGCTCCCTCCCTGGGGACAGCAGGTGGTAGGTCCCTGTACCCTGCTGGTGCACCCTCTGCCCCTTGGTGGCCCCCGACCCTCCCTGGACCTCAGCGGCTGGGCAGCTCCTTCATCCAAGGGCTCAGCAAGGTCCCTGGTGTCCTTGGGCCAAGGGCACAAGTAGCCGCAGAGCCCTGCAGAGAGCCCAGGACAGGCTCGAAGGCCACGGGAGGGACAAGGAAGCCCCTGGGGTGGGGAGGCTGATTGCTCCTTGAATCACATCTCATTTAACACTGTCCTGTGCCTCAAACACCCCCATTTCCCCACTCCCTGGGGGAAGCAACTAAGGCTCAGAGAGGGGAATTCACCTGCCCAAGGTCACACAGTCAGCAGAGGGCAGACAGCCAGCCAGAGTCCAAACTCGGACTTGCCAAACACCAGGGCTCAAAGAGACACGACCAGAGAAACATTTGTCTGAAATCTGGGGGAGCCCAGAGAGCGAGCAGGTCATCCCACAAGGCCTTCTGGAGGGGAGCACCTGGCCGAGGCTGGGAGACTGGGTCTGCTGAGATTTCACGAGCTCCGAGTCCTCCATCGAAGAGGTACAGTCCAGAATCCCGCCTCCACCCCCGTGTGACGGATGGTGGCCCAGGTCCGCCTGGACTAGCCTTGAGGGGTTGGGGCCACTCCAGATGCTATTGGTTTTTCCCAAGGTCTAGACAGGATGGGGGAATCCCCCGAGGAGATCAAGATCAATGGCCATCGGCTGCAGAACGTGCTGACGAACCACAGTTCCCCACGAATCGCTCCCTGACTAATGGGCCTCGGTGCCGTGTGCTCAGCGTGCCCGCAGGAACAGGGCCCTGGCAGGGAAAGTGGTGGGGTGAGTGCCCAGGGCTGTTTCCTGTGGCTGGAGAGACTCTCACGGGGCAGCTGGAGGAGACTAAGTAGAGCAATAGCCCGGCCGGCGTGGCTCCGTGGTTGAGCATCGACCTAGGAACCAGGAGGTCACGGTTCCATTCCCGGTCAGGGCACAGGCCCGGGTTGTGGGCTCCATCCCCAGTGGGGGGGTGCAGGAGCCAATCAATGGTTCTCTCTCATCACTGATGTTTCTATTTCTCTCACTCTCTCCCTTCCTCTCTCAAATCAATAAAAATATTTGTTTAAAAGAGCCTGGCCAAACCGGTTTGGCTCAGTGGATAGAGCGTCGGCCTGTGGACTGAAGGGTCCCGGGTTCGATTCCGGGCAAGGGCATGTGCCTTGGTTGCGGGCACATCCCCAGTGGGAGGTGTGCAGGAGGCAGCTGGTCGATGTTTCTCTCTCATCGATGTTTCTAACTCTCTATCCCTCTCCCTTCCTCTCTGTAAAAAAATCAATAAAATATATTAAAAAGAAAAAAAAAAAAGAGCATGCTGCTGCCATGCCTGGAATTCCACCATCTGGGCCTCCTTCTCCCAGTTAATGGCCTCTCCCACCGGGTGGCACACTCAGTCCCTTAGACCCCAGACAGAGGGAGGGACCACAGGGGACACACTCCTCCCTCGCTGGGTGGCACAAGGGCATCAGACCCAAGCTCTCAACCATCAGACTGGGGCCATCGGATGAGGGGATGTGCGGGAAGCAGGCAAGCTGCTCTGTCCGCAGGGCATTTCCTTCAGGCAGGCATCTGCTCGAGGTGGCAGCTGGGAACAGGGCTCTCTTGTCTCTGCTCCCTGCGTAGCAGCCTGCTCACGCCCGAGTGTCAGGCAGAGCTGGGA